GCCCTGGACGACCGGTGTGCCTAACGGCCGCGCTCAGAGACCATCACCCCCCCGCGCACTGCCTACTGAGTCGAGAAAGTGCCACGCCTGCCACACCCCGCGACCCTGGAACGGATAGAAACCGCGGTGAGGGACTACCCCCTTCGCACCCTCTGTGGTGTGGAGACAGTGCCACCCCCGTGACCCTGGGACGGATAAAGACCACGCTCAGGGACCACACCCTGCGCAAATCTTGTGGAGTGGAGAAAGTGTCACGCATGCCACGCCCCGCGACACTGGGACGGATAGAGACCGCGGTGAGTGACCACCCCCTGCGCACCCCCTGTGCTACAGAGGAAGTGCCACGCCTGCCACGCCCCGCGAGCCTGGGACGGATAGAGACCACGCTCAGGGACCACACCTTGCGCAACCCGCGTGGTGTGGAGAAAGTGCCACGCCTGCCGCGTCACGCGACCCTGGGACGGATAGAGACCACGTTGAGGGACCACCCCCTGCGCACCCCCTGTCGTGTGGAGAAAGTGCCACGCCTGCTACGCCCTGGACGACCTGCGAGGATAGGGGGAGCACCCCCTGTGCACCGAGTGGTGTGTGTCTGCTATGTGCTGTGTGTGTATGTGTGTGTGTGTGTGTGTGTGTGTGTGTGTGGTGTGTGTGTGTGTGTGTGTGTCTCTGTGTGTGTGTGTGTGTGTGTGTGTGTGTGTGTATGTTTTTTTGTGCTTGGTGTGCGCTTTTGTGTGTATTGGGTGGTGTCTCTGTGTTGTCGGATATGTGTGGTGTAGTGTTTGTGGTGTTGTGTTGTGCGATGCGTGTCTGACGTGTGATGTTTGCATGGTGTGTGTGTGTGTGTGTTATGGTGTGGAGTCTGCAGTGTTGTGCTATCTAGTGTGTGTCTGATGTGTCTGGTGTGTGTGTGTGTGTGTCTGATGTGTGCTGTTCGTTGTGCGCGTCGTGAAGGAGGAGGAGAAAGAGGGCGGGTGTGAGACGCTGGTGCGACGCAGGTAGGAAAGAAAACCCCAACCCCACGAAACATGTAGGGAAGAACCTTCGGCCGGTTCTTTCCGCCGGGGCCGCCCGACCCCCGTGCGTGGAGGCCTGGTCGGCGGCGCCGGCGGCGCGCGACCGCTGCAGCAGCCGGCGCTGGCGGCGAGGCTGGCGGCCCGCCTGCGCCCCGCGCTGGCGCAGCTCCCCGCGGAGCCCCGCCGCTCGCCTCGCCGCCGCCGCTCCGCTCCGCGGCGCTCCGCTCCGCTCCGCTGCGCCGCTGCCGCTCCGCCGCCGCTCCGCTCCGCCGCTCCGCTCCGCCGCTCCGCTCCGCCGCTCCGCTCCGCCGCTCCGCTCCGCCGCTCCGCTCCGCCGCTCCGCTCCGCCGCGTCGCTCCGCCGCTCCTCTCCGCTCCGTGGGTGCGCTGCTCCCTCTCGCTCGTCGAAAGAGGGCGAGGGAGGGCGAGAAGGGGCGAGGTGGAGGTGGAGGAGGAGGAGGAGGAGGAGGAGGAGGAGGAGGAGGAGGAGGAGGAATGCTGAGGAGGAGGAGTGCAGAGGAGGCGGAGGAGGAGGAGGAGGAGGAGGGAGGATGAGGATGAGGAGGAGAGGAGGCGGTAGGAGGAGGAAGAGGAGGAGGAGGAGGATGGAGGAGGAGTAGGAGGTGGAGGAGGAGGAGGAGAGGAGGGAGGGGAGGAGGACTCGCGTGCACCATGGCCACGTCGACCGAGTCGTTTCCTCAATACCCCTCCACTGCCGCCAGGGCACAGCCGCTGCTTTGCTCCGCCCCGCCGCTGCTCCGTCCGACGCTCCGCTCTGCCGCGCTCCGCTGCTCCGCTGCACCGGCTCAGCTTGCCCCCCCCTCCCCCCCCCTCTCGTCCCTCCCCCCCCTCTGCCCCTTCCCGACCCCCTCCCCCCTCCCCCTCCCCCCCTCCCCTCCCCTCCCCCCCTCCCCTCCCCCCTCCTCCCCTCGCCCCCCCTCCCTCTCCCCCTCCTCCTCCCCTCCTCCAACATTACTCAATATGAATGCTACTCTCCCTCTTCCCCTGATGACGGCCTGGGAGTGTCCGACCCCCCCCGCATATTGTTTTCTTACACACAGGTTTCCCCGGAGTTGGGTTTTCGCTTGCATTTTTGTTCCAAAATGCTGCTCTCGTTGAGGCGCCGGCCTCATTTTCGGGCCCCGCTCGTTCCGAATCGTGCTCCCGCTGCAGCGCTGGCTTCATTTCCGTGCATCGTGCTCCCGCTGCAGCGCTGGCCTCATTTCCGCGCTTCCGCTCGTTTCGACTCGTGCTCCCGCTGCAGCGCTGGCGTCATTTCCCGTGCCATGCCACGGCATGCAATGCAATGCTAGGTTGATATTGCGCTTTGCGGTGTTCTTCTACGCCATGCCATGCCGTGCTCTACAATGCATCGCGTACCCTTTCGGGATCATTGCCCTGCTCGACATCCGACTGAGCGAGTAGAGAGGGGATCTGCGCCATGGTAAGGGATGGGAGGGAGGGGTAGGATGTCAGATATGACGCGAGCGCACCTAGCTTGCCCTCCCCCCCTCCCCTCCCCTTCCTCCCCCTCCCACCCCCTCTCCCCCTCCTTCTCCCCCTCTCCACAATTACTCAATATGAATATACTCTCCCTCTTCCCCTGATGGCGTCCGGGTGATAGCCGCGCACCCTCCGCGTACTGTTTTTTTACACACAGGATGCCCGGAAAATCCTGGGAAACGACTCTCGCTGAGGCGCCGGCGTCACTTTTTCCCAAAATGCTGCTCTCGCGCCGGCGTCATTTTTTCCCAAAGTGCTGCTCTCGTTGAGGCGCCGGCGTCATTTCTGCTCCCGAATCCTTCCCCTGATGGCGTCCGGGTGATAGCCGCGCATCCTCCGCGTATTGTTTTTTAACACACAGGATGCCCGGGAAATCCCGGGAAACGACTCTCGCTGAGGCGCCGGCGTCTTTTTTTCCGAAAATGTGCTCTCGTTGAGGCGCCGGCTTCATTTCTGCTCCCGAATCGTTCCGAATCGTGCTCCCGCTGCAGCGTGGGCCTCATTTTCGGATCGGTGTTTGGCCTCCGTCGTTCAGGATGGCGTTCTCGCCCCAGCGCGGGCCTCTTTCTCGCGCGCCCATCCGCCCTCCACCACCGCGCCGCCCGCCAACCACCACCACCACCACCACCACCCCCCACCACACCACCACCACAACCACCACCAGCCCCACCACCACCAGCACCAGCACCAGCACCAGTACCACCACCACCACCACCAGCACCCCCACCACCACCAGCACCACCACCACCATCACCACCACCACCACCACCACTACCACCACCACCACCACGCACACACGACACGCACGCACGTTTGCACCACCACCCACTACGCACGCGCGCGCGGAGCCACAGGTCCGCTACGACACGCGTCCGCGGATAGAGAAAAACAGCGCCATGGTAAGGGATGGGAGGGAGGGGTAGGACGTCAGATATGACGCGAGCGCACCTAGCTTGTCCCCTCCTCCTCTTCCCCACAATACTCAATATGAATACTACTATACCTCTTCCCCGATGGCGTCCTGGGAATATCGACCCCCCCCGCGTAATATTTTTTTAACACAGGATTCCCGGGAGTTGGGCTTCGCCCTGCTTTTTTTTTTTTTTTTTTTTTTTTTTTTTCAAAATGCTGCTCTCGCTGAGGCGCTGGCCTCATTTCTGCTCCCGAATCGTTCCGAATCGTGCTCCCGCTGCAGCGTGGGCCTCATTTTCGGATCGGTGTTTGGCCTCCGTCGTTCAGGATGGCGTTCTCGCCCAGCGCGGGCCTCTTTCTCGCGCGCCCATCCGCCCGCCACCACCGCGCCGCACCACGCCCCGCCCCGCCGCACGCACACCCACCGCCACTTCACCCACCAACGCACGCACGCACGCACGCGCACCACCACCGCGCACCGCCACCACCACCGCACTACCCCACCCACCACCACCACGCTACACCGCGTCACACAGCATCACACGCGCGCGCACACAGACACACACACGCACGCACGCACGCACGCTCGCACGCACGCACGCACGCACACGACACCATACACATACCCACACACATACACACATACACACATACACACATACACAATACACACATATACACAACCACCACCTCACACATACACACATACACACATACACAACATACACACATACGCACATACTCACATACACACATACACACATACACACATACACACATACACACATACACACATACACACATACACATACTTACATACACACATACACACATACACATACACACATACACATACACACATACACACGCACACACAGACATACACACACCACCACCGCCCACACACACACACACGCACACACAGACACACACACACACCACCACCGCCACCACCACCACCGCCATCACGCACGTACGCACCTGGCCCACCACCAAACCACCAAGACGCCACATCACGTCACACCACAGCACACGCGCACACACGCACACACACATACACACCACCACCACAACAACCACAACCACGCACACACGCACGCACGCACGCGCACCACCACCCACTACGCACACGCGCGCGGAGCCACAGGTCCGCGCGTCCGCGGGTAGAGAAAATTAGCGCCATGGTAAGGGATGGGAGGGAGGGGTAGGATGTCAGATGTTGACGCGAGCGCACCTAACTTGCCCTCTCCCCCTCCCCCTCCCCCCCCTCCCCTCCACAATGACACAATATGAATACTATTCTCCTCTCTCCCCTGGTGGCGTCCAGGGATTGTTCGGCCCCCCTCCGCGTACTGGTTTTTAGTCACAGGATTCCCAGGAGTTTGGTTTTCGCTTGGGTTTTTGTTTCAAAATGTTGCTTTCGCTGAAGCGCTTGCCTCACTTTTGGGTAACCGCTCGTTCCGAATCGTGCTCCCGCTGCAGCGCTGGCCTGGCCTCATTTCCGCGCTCCCGCTCGTTCCGAATCGTGCTCCCGCTGCAGCGCTGGCGTCATTATTTACAGCGCCATGCCACGGCATGGTTTTCGATCCTTCCAAACAGGCCCCCAAATCTAGAAACTGGCCCCCCCCCGAGAAAACCATCGGAAGTGATTCCACATTCGGTGTCGATTCGTTGATTTTTGGGGTCGCAGAAGCCCCCCCCCTCTTTGGGGCGTCGCCACGCCATGCTATGTCAGGGTACGCGTTGGTCGTCAACACCATGCTACATGTAATGCTATGCTCTGCTACGACATCCGGCTGTGCGAATAGAGAGGAGATCTACGCCATGGTAAGGGATGGGGGAGGGAGGGCTAGGACGTCAGATACGACGCGAGCGCACCTAGCTTGCCTTCCCCCCATCTACCCCTTCCCTCCCCCCCCCCCTCCCCCCCCCCTCCCCTCCCCTCCTCCTCCCTCTCCTCCCCCCTCCCCCCCCCCCCCCCCATCCCCCCTTCCCACCCTCCCCTCCCCTGACATCCCGCGCCGCGAACAAGATCACATCATCATCATCATCATCATCATCATCATCATCATCATCATCATCATCATCATCATCATCATCATCATCATCATCAGGAGCAGCAGCATCATCATCATCAGCATCATCATCACCACCATCATCATCACTATCATCATCCGCAGCAGCAACACCAGCATCAGAATCAGCATCGCATCAGCATCATCATCACCACCACCATCATCATCATCATCGTCGTCGTCGTCGGCATCATCCTCATCATCAGTATCAGCATCATCATCCTCATCATCGTAAGCATCACCATCATCACCATCAGCATCATTATCATTACCGTCCTTGTCATCAGTATCATCATCATCAGTATCATCATCACCATCATCATCACCATCATCGCCATCTTTAGCACAATCACCACCATCAACATCAGCATCATAATCATCACCATCATCACCACAACTATCATCGTCATCAGCATAGTCATTGTCATCTTCATCACCATCATCATCATCAGCATTATCATCCTCATCATCAGCATCAGCGTCATCATCATCATCATCATCAGCATCATCATCATCATCATCATCATCATCATCATCATCATCATCATCTTTGTCACCATCATCAGCACCACCATCACCATCATCACCGCCATCACCATGACCATCACCTCTATCATCATCAACACCATTATCATCAGCATCGTCATCACCGTCAGCATCGCCATCATTATCATCATCATCAG